AAAGGAAAAATGAATTAATAAATAAATCACAAGGTGGCCTTGAAGCACCAAAGTTTCAACATTACATTTAGCAAATGAACTAGAATATTTAGTCAAATGGATTCAGGAATTTACAACAGTTCATGGACCGAATTAGAACAGAATCATTGCAAAAACACCTCAGTTGCAGATCTTGCCTTTCTACCACACTCAATTAAGAACATGAGCTACTGTAAGAATATCAATCTCCTCACCTCAGACAGCAAACAAAGTCACCGAGTCACCACCAACGATAGATAGATTCACCCTAATCTGGCACAATCCAGACTTTCAGATGCAGTCCTGTCTACTATCATCATGGCATCACAAAGGAATCACTCACCATCACCTATTATTAAAAAAAACAGCTCATATCATTCAACACATTAACTGGAAGTACAGAGCTGGGGAAGGACAGTTCCTCCTGTACCAACAGTTAAAATCCATAATTAAACTAAAGACCAATGTAATCAATAACCCACTACATTCCTTCCACACTAGCTGCAAAAATAATGACTAAAAATTCAAAGATCATATCTAAACTTTATGATTTGGCTGTCTCCCACAGCCCCAGATTCTGGATGGAAATCCAGTAACAACATATCACTGGACCAACCATCTGACAGAATACATCATACTGGAGAAAATGGCATTCACTCACAACAACAGTGCATCAGCTTGTAATGACACCGGGAACCCATGTTTAACAGATCTCAACTTGGGAGAGATGCCTGGGGCTAAGGCCACACACATTCCTACAAACCCTTAGAAATACAATAAGTCATCATATCTGTCCCAGCTGCAGAGCTGCTGGCGCTCAGATGACAACAGATGGAGGGCTTTCATCACAGCATACACACACAATGCACAAGCAAGACAACAACTGCAGAGTTACACAAATAAAAGAAAATGAACAAGGAGTCATTCACAAGAATCTACACTGCTGCTAACATGCTAGCAAGAAGCACACTAACGCTAACGAGTCGTCTGCCTGCACTGCTAGCAAGAAGCACACTAACGCTAACTGTGCAGGCAGACGACTCGTCAGCAAATTAACAAGAAAATGCAGTATAAAACACACACACACACACACACACACACAGTACAACAGAATGATCACAGGCTAAGAGATACAGACAGCGACTGACAAAACCACAGGCAAGTTCACACACATACTCTGCTACGGCTGTTGACAATCATTGACAGTGACTGCCACACACTGTGCGCTCTGTTTAACACACCACACATGGAGTACCCACACCATGAAGTTCACTTGAAGTATAATAAATTCTAAATTTGGTGCACACACAGACACTTATACTTCTATCTTTGTGAGGACACTCAGACATAATGCACCCCCTAGCCTGTTAACCTAACACTTAACCATCAGAACTAAATGCCTTACCCTGACCTAACCCTGATTCTAGCCTGAACCCTAAACCAAGTCTTAATTCTCAAAAAGGTGTTTCACAAACTGAGAACCGGCCAAAATGTCCTCACACTGTGTCAAAAAATACTTTTTAGTCCTGACTATGTAGCAAGTACAAGAACACACACACCTTTTACTTAGCACTGTCAGGTCCTAAAAGTTGACATCAAACTAACTCACAACTGTGTTCACATTGTCTTCTATCAGATCTGATTTAAATCATAAATTGGCTTTCTTTTGTTAAAAGTACTGAGAGTACTTGTATCAGCGCTTGTGTCAAACAAAATGCTGTACTGTTACTATCAGAAAGACCAGTACCGAAATGTCAATGTTTGCAGTGAAGCTGCCTTTATCTTCTGAGTTGAGGACTTACAGAAGAGCCAATGCTACAGTTTCCATGTAGAAATGTATGCTAATAAGTGTTTAATTGAATTAGAGGTTTCCAATTAAAATGCCTGTAAATGTATGGTTACATGTTTACAAACACTGAACCAACAGCTGACTCAAATGTCCCCACTTAGAATAGGTCCTCACAAAGATAGAAATACAAGAGCATACAAAAACAGGCACTTCCTATGAGTTGCTTCCCACAGTGTCAGTGGTAGTTCTGTCCCACACAGACACACCAACATCTAGACACTACATACTGACTGATATTGAGAATGACAATCCACGGTGACACAAACACACGCTGTGTTTTCTTTCTTTGTGGGGACTTTACATTCACTTACATTTCCTGTAGACTTATTCTAACCTTAACCACTACTTGCCTAACACCTAACCGCATCCTAAGCTTAAACCATGTTGCCACCTTAAAATTCAGTGATTTCCTTGTGGGGACCAGAGGCTTACGGGGTCCCTACATAAACCTATTTATTTTCAGGACACTTACCCTAACCTTAACTTCTACTTGCCTAACCATAACTCTAATACCCAACACTCAAAGCCTACACTTGTTCTAGTCTTACACCCAATCATTTTCATTAAATTTGACAAACTACGTTGTGGGGACCAGCCTTCAGTCCCCACAAAGATAGTAACTCATGGATTTTGGGCTGCACAAGTATTTAAAACCAAGGCCCCCCCCCCCCCCCG